ACTCCGATTCACAAAGGCGGAAGCGGAACTGATCCTTTCAGCTATCGCTTAGTATCCCTTCTTCCTATACTCCCCAAGATCATGGAATCCATATTTGCCCATGCACTAGTGTGTTATCTGGAAAACTGTAATATCCTCACGCCTGAGCAACATGGTTTCCGTCGACAGCGATCATGCACAACGAAGTTACTAATCGCACGCAGTAGTTGGCTCGAATCAGCTGATGCTGGAGAAAGCTTTGATGTGCTCTACCTGGATTTTCCAATGCTTTCACTCGTCTAGACCATCGTATACTACTCTCCAAGCTCCAGCGTTACGGGATTGGCGACTCTATTCTAAGCTGGATTTGCCAACTTTCTACTGCAACGGCAATTAGTGGTCAGAGTTCGGAGCTCTTTAACGGACCCCGTACTAGTTGGGTGTGGTGTGCCGCAAGGCTCAAAGAGACTTGTAAAGCAACGCTTCTTAACCCGTATAAATTCACCATTCATTATTCTTTGTGGAGTCTTGAGCGCGGCAAGGTATTGGTTCTGCCAATGCTACCAGGCCTGGATGGCATATTCCACATGAGGTCGCGCATATATGCTAGGCATCTAGGAGCAGACAGATGCATCAAGCAGCCTGGACGCACCCCGCAGTAGTCCAAAATGTTGGTTCCCGGCTTTTGATACATCAGCTTGCTCTGAGCAGCCGAAGTCGTCTTAAATCAGCACCGCAAACTTCACTCTGTTTGAACAAACACATGCGGGAGGCTGCTTATAAGCACGTGCTGTTCGGTCCATGAGGAATGCCGATCACCTTAACTTTAGACGCATTGAATGACGATTCATAAGCGCTGCCCCAGTTTCACTGGATTGCGTCGTGATCTGTTTGGACGTCCATCGCTCACTGTATCTGTACAGCACCGATAGTGTGAACGAATTTGACATAATCACACACTTAAAGTTGTTAACGAAAGTAAGCAGTAAGCGTGGATGCAAATGGCCAAACTCACGAAGAGGGCTGCACTTGAAGGTGTGCCCGAAAATAACTGTAAATGCATTGCTATGTTGGAAAGTAAGTAAGAACCGACGTTTACTTAAGCCAACGCTTAAGCCGTAGAACATTTTTGACATTGTGCACAACCATTTTGACACTCTGTTGCATTAGCCTCTAAGTCAAATATCAACGCCCTCGTCTTGAAAGACCATCAATGAGTGTTTCGCTCTGTTGGGAATCGTCACTGATGAGAATCCCCTGACTCCTTTAGAACGGAACACTTTCGTAACCATTTGGTCCAGTATGGATGGTCTGTTGTTTCTCCTGAATCTGGTGTGCGAAGTGATGTGGCCATATAGTGGAAAGTTTGAGACAAGATCTTGTAGGTCTGCTTTGAATTGTTATCTTGGTGTGGGCTGGGATTCTACATCATGTAAGTTGAAATCACTGGCCACTAGAACGTGACTGTACTTGCTGTTTATCACTTGCCTCAACGTATTCACCAATTTGCAGTCCATCTCAGGTGTAGATGGACTGCAACTTGGGGGCTGCATTGTGGCAGGTGATAACCAGGAAATACAGCCACAGAAGTGATGATCGAGAGAGTGATAATCGATACTCCTCTAGGCCGCAGTAATCATGCGACTTTGCATTTCATGTACACTTGCTCTGTTTAATATCCCGAGGAGAGAACTTAAACGACGCGAACCATAACCAGTTACGACACCCCAACCCGACTCGTTGAAGTGATCGACTGGAGTTTCCTAACCAAGCATGCACCCGATATTGCCTAGGAACATTTCGTTAGCAAGTTTAACACCTTGGTTAGTGGAGCTTCGGAAACTAAGATTATCAGTTCGAGAAACATGGCGTCATGTTTACGGAGTGTGACACGCAAACGTAGGATGATGCGCGACGCGGCGTGGTATACACACAAAAGTGATCCGAGTACCTGTAAAGCATATGTTGTCCACCCTAAAAATTATACCGAACTAGTGCGCAAGGACAAAATAGCTTATCAGGATGCTTTAGCCGAACGAGCAACTTCAAATCCGAAGCTTCTGTATAAGCTGGTGAACAACCTCCGTAAGGTGAAAAGTGGATTTTCCCCTAATCAAACAGCGGATGGTCTTACTCTGCCTTATGAATAAGCATCGAATGTACTGTCACAACAATATGCACCAACGTTTTATTGCACCCAGTGATCTCTTGAATCTTTGGAATCTATGGTGCCCACACCAGGACTCACTCATAAATACTTTAGGGCATGCATCATAATGAGCAATTTGCTATCCATTCGTCTAAATACCTGTCCAGGAATTGACGACATCCGCCCAAAGACGCTTGCTGTGGTGGCTACTATTTTGGCTGAACCAGTTCTAGCACTGCATTGACGAGCAGCACGTTCATGCAATGTTCAAACAAGGAGTAATAACTCACATCTACAAAAGTGGTAGTCGTTCCAACCCAGCTAATTATCGACCAGTGACTCTACTGCCAGTTCGTTCAAAAGTTATGGAGGCTATCATTGTCGACGCACTCATATCTTCTCTGGACAGCTTTAGTTACATTGCTCAGCACCAGCACGACTTCTGCCAGAATCAATGTTCTCTCTCATAGGCGTCTGGAGGTGAGAATACATGAATTCATGTCAAACCCAATTCGCGTCGAATGTTGAGTGCCACAAGGTTCGGTACTGGGGTCCCGTCTATTCTTGGTCTTTATAAACAATATATTGAGTCAAAGTGCATCAAACTGTTATTCTTATGCCGATGTCATCAAAGTTTGGCGAGTGAGCAGAGCGCCGGAAGACCGTATCCGGCTTGAAATGGACCTTGACAAGGTTTACGGTGGATTGGTCCAAAATCGCCTTTCATTAAATGTGGCTAAATGTCGAGTGCTCCAATTAAGACACCAAATGGTTGGCGCATATAAAGTGTGGGACCAGGAACTACAACACTGTTCTCTCGAAAAGGATCTCGGTGTGTTGGTCCAGGAAATCACGGCTACTCGGCGCACTCTAAAAATGTATCGAAGAAATGGATCCAAATCATGAGGCTTTTACGGAGAGTTTCCGGGTAATTCGAATCGTCGATTTTCCGCTAAATACTTTCTGCTTATATACTCCCTCATGTTGAATATGCAATTCAAGGATGGTACTCATGGTTAGAGCGGGATCTCACGTCGGGGGACCAAAAATATCAAGGGGCTGCGCCCCTTTTCGTACGAACAGCGCCTTAGAGGGCTTGGGATTTACAGTGGACGTTATCACCCTTTGCATGGTGACCTGATCATGGTTTAACAAATATTAAACAACATTAATCACCCCTGCCATCACGTTTTGAAGCTGAGTCACAACAGTCAACTGAGAGGTCCTCATCTCAAATTGGCAGAAAAATACAGTCGGTTGGACGGTGGGAGAAACTTCTTCTCGCTGCGTGTTTGCCGGACGTGGAATGCCCTCTCAAAATCATTTATTGCATCTCCCACATTAACCGTGTTCAAAACACATGTCGACTGTGCACTGACCATACTACACCAAATCACGTAATCCAAACGACCCATACAAACAGCAGAAAAACAAGGACAAATCAACCCACCTCCATTTTTCCACGGAAACCACAGACGATAACCTTGGATAGTACATAAAATGGACGGGAACGCTGTAATCTGCGAGTTCACAATTTGCAGTTGTTCACTATTTCTTATTACTATTTTTGCCTTTATTTTGCTCACTTCTAACCGATTATCGGGCGCGACATGCCAAGCTTCGATTTTTTTAAAGCCGTAATATACCACTGATTATCGACACTAGCTATTGGTGTCCCAACGTATATGTCGTGCCACTAGACCACAGGAGATGGTGGCGAACCAACGGGAGTTAAAACCCAACAGCAATATGACACTACTCATCCTTAAGTGCCGGGCAAGTTGCGAACGTTATACTGTACCGAAGTAGATCCTGGGACCGGCTATCGGACTCGCAGAATTCTGAAACAACTTTGCACTATAATGTGTTTAGTTTGGACTCTGCTTTCAACATTTTCGCGGAACATTATTCTAATCATTAGGTCATGCAATACTGTTTCTCATTATGTTCCTCAGAATGTATAGGGGCGATGAACAGGATGGGATAATGCGAAAACACAAAATACCTCTTTCTGAGCTAGATTTGCTTAATTTTAACGCAGAATGGGCCCGCCACTATTGCTTTCAACACAATCACCGTTTTCGGATTATTCTACTTTTGGGGAATTTTGTGCATAGTGCAGTTTCGTGGTTCAGTTCGCACATTTGGGTACGTCGCTCGTATTTAGAGACAAAGGCATCAGTAAACTTATTGCCACGTTACATGGTCTGCATTAGGTAGACATTTCTGCAGGGAAATCAATGATTAATTATGTAAAAATTGGTCATTCATCCCAAAAGGTGTACCAGCCCCAAAACATCTATGCTTTCTCATGTGAAGGCCTGTATTACGCAAAGTTCGTTCAATTATCTTAGCAGTGAATGTGTTTCACTATGAATCCATTTCCGCTTAACGACTGATCCGATCAGTTATACCCGCTGCCGATAGTGGCGCAGTAAAAATGTGGCATACGCGGCCTGTCTTGAGTTAAATGACGTCAACAGCATCACCCATAGGAATATTGTTTTAAAACCCGTTCGATTAAACTTTCCAAGATTGCCTTTTCACTGGTATACAGACGTTGTACAGAATTCGCTTCCCATACAAACATGCTCAGACCGTCGTGTGTCCCTAACCCACCACAGCAGACGCTGCGGTCATTCAGTATCGTTAGCTGAGACAAGCAACTCCAACAGATTGAAGCCAACTTCCGATTTTGTAAAAGCTTTAGTTTGCAGCTGTCACCGTTCGACAGACGACTGTGTATATACATAAAAAATAACCACATTTTGTTTCCCTCATTAAGGCAAGTAGTTTAAGCGACTCAAATTCGCCTCATCTGTTCACACTCTTAACCCATTGACTACCTTACGCTGATCACATTTCTCTTTCAGAAAAATTACCATTCCCGGCCCATATCATCATGCCAAAGGAACTTGCATGTCGGGCTACGTTCTGTCTCCTCGATATACTGGCTGCTTTGTTCTTGTTGGATTACCTATCATTTCGTTTGACTTCCAAGACGCTCCACCTGATGGTTGGCGGAACCCTGACGTTGAATCGCATCCGCGTATTCCGTGCACTGTTCTTCCTCTACATCGGCTATCGTGTCGGCATGTTTGCATGGAGAAGATACAAAATAACACTTCGTTTAACCCGAAAGAAGGAAGATATACTTGACAAACACGGACGATTGAACGAAAAACTGCGAGCCACCGAAATGCCCGTGATTAGCGCCGATGAAGTTGCGGAAGTCAACATGTCTAGCTTGCGCGATCACCTACGCTCGAAACGTTGGACTGCAGTGGATGTCATTGATGCCTACCAGCGTCGTGCATTGAATATATTTCGCTCCATGCCCGGATGCATTAGTGAAATCGTGTTCGACTCGGACGTTTACGCAATTCTAGCTGACAGTCGTCTTGAGGAGGACCAACAGGAAGCATCGATGCTTAGCGCGTTGCATGGGATTCCCGTGAGTGTGCAAGAAATATTCCCCGTGCGTGGTTATGATCATACTATGGGTTATGTGAGCCGCACCAAACTACCAGCGGAGGAGGATTGCGCGTTTGTGGCCGCACTAAAGAGTGCTGGAGCTGTGCCGTTCGTATTGACGAACTCGAGACAGAAGTTCGTTGGTTTGACTTGCGACAATCCCATTTTCGGTCGAACACGACATCCAACTCATCACCACCGTGCTTGCGTTAGCGGCGAGGCTGCGTTCCTTTGTCATCACGGCGCCCCTTTGGGGTTTGTTGCCGATATTGTGGGGGAGGCCCGACTTTCAGCTGCTTTCTGCGGCCTTGTTGCCTTCAAACCATCCTCCGCCCGGATGAGCCAGAAAGGGCTGAAACTACCACTTCGGATGCCAAGAGATTTGGGTGTAATTGCGAGTCCCATTGCGCACACAGTTAGCGATGTCACAGATGCACTGCGTGCTCTTTGGACCACTTCTGCTTTGTTTAAACAGGATTGTTCTCTGTGTCCGTTGTCATTCGATGAAGACAAGTTCAGTAAGGGGTGTGAGAACCCCATCACTGTGGGATTCTATGCTGGTTTTCCCAATCTACTACCTGTTTCGCCCGCAGTTCATCGGGTCTTACAAGAAACACGAAGCCTTTTGGAAAGTAAGGGCTATACCGTGGTGGAGTTTGTTCCTCCTGACGCAGCTAAAGGCTATCAACTTGTAATGAGTTTGTTAATCGAAACATTGGGACCTGAGACTCTCAAACTGGTTTACAACGAAGGTCATGGGGATATACTGGTGGACTGCAAACAAAGGGCAGTACACATGTTATACGCCCTACCGGCGTTTTTCAAAAAGTTACTGTGTTTCCTCCGAGCTACGCGAATGCAATCGAGTTACAAGGTCACCGCAGTAGCACTTCGCGGTGTCGGATCTACGAAGTCCCATATTCAGTTGGAAGAGGAAGTCCAAGAATATGCGCAGTTATTCTTCAATGCCTGGAATGAACAACAGATAGATTGCCTTTTATGTCCGGTCTCTCCAATTCCCGTCCCTTGGGATTACTCCGCATTTTACGTCGTTAACTGTGTATTCTTGTTCACCGCCCTCTACAACCTGCTCGGATGTCCGGCTGGCACAGTGAAGGCTGGTCGAATCGAGCGGGAAGATATTCATGCGGCCAAAGATGGAGTGAAACCGGACCGTCTGATTAGGCAATCGCTCATGTTTGCACAACAGCTCGACGCATCCGAGGGCTTACCCGTCAATATCCAAGTGGTGGCCAAGCCATGGGACGACGAACTTGCTTTGGGATTGCTTCACGTGTTGGAACAGGGAATGCATCCATCCTAATCACCCATGCTTATGTGTATATGTGTATTAGCGTGTGTACACCAATGAGAGTGCCCCCCGCCACCGCCTTGCCTTGCGCGTAGCATATTTCTGCTTTACTTGATAATTTCTCGTGTCAGATAATCGATCTTTGAGTTGTCCTCACCCTCATCTCCAGATACAAATGTGTGATAAGTTGTGCCGCTAATTTGCTCCAACAGCCGCCTGGTCTTGCGATCGATACTATTTGTATGCAGATGTCTTAACAATGCGGTTTCGTTTCAAAGTATCAGTTAACCAGGCCAGCCGTGTGTGTGCCCGCTGCATTGGCACGTAATGCTGGCATACGCACATCGCGCTGAGTGTGAATATAAGGAACTTGACCAGTAAAAACCACGAGTCTGACTTTGTTTGCGACATTTGACGTCGAAGCTTTTTTCTTTCAATCGCCTTCACAATGGCTTGTACGACTGAATGCACTGAGTATAATCGATGAATCGATCGATTATGACTACTCGCTTTATGGGTGAGGAGCAATCAAGCTTAGGTGACATTGATACTGCAGCCGTCGACAACTGAACCTGTGGGAACTGGAGCTTGAGCCCATTAAGCTGTATAACCGTAGTAGTATTAATATTCGAAATAATAAACTGTTTGCAACATAAGTAAATTAACTAACGAAGAGTAAGCCGGGGAGTTGATTGATATAGGTATAGGTCGTTGCCGTTCCCCGTAGTTCAGTGTTCTCAACCACGGACTGGCAACAGTCGAGTTGCGGGTTTGAGGCTTACCAGGTTCCAATGGAATACGCACTACTGACGATTCCCGAAAGGATGAAACGCGCGTACAATGCTTTTCCGGGCGTGTGATGGCTGTCTGAGTGAGATGTGACGAATTTCTACCTATACCAAATCAATTAATGGTTTTATTCACAATGAAACGAGACTTACCCGTACTGGAATAATCAACTGGTTGCTAGGGCTACAGGAGCAGTGTAAGACATTGTACCTCAAACGGTTGAGGTGGTTGTTTATTCCTACTTTTCGCACAGGGATTATGCAAATATGATGGGCATTTTCATTCGTGTCAGAGAGGAAGACGGTGCAAAAACACAATAGCATGTATGAGTGTCATTGTTATGGAAAATCTGGGTGGCGGTTTCGAATGGTTGCAGAGATTCATCCTCAATTTTCCCATGGTCATATAAACCCAAAAAGGTACTTGTTAAGAGCTGTAGGACGAGAAATTGAGATTTCAGTGTTATATACATTGGCAAGAATTCATTTGTGCATATGACGTTGTAGTTATGAAGTTCAGATATTGTAGTTGCTGTCAGTGTGAAGCGATGGGCATCGGATTGATTTTCCTGGGCAGTCACATCCGCCACGTCACAGTGTTGTTAAACAACCATCTGTGGTTTTTATAGGAAGAACGCTTGCAAGGCGAAAACCTACCACGTCCTGGAACACTGCCATCGACGGCAATTTGAACAGTAATGAGCCACTGGCAGCGTTACCTTAAGACCGATTTCCCGCATTGAGGTTTATATTACTATTGTTATAGTAGACAGCTATATCTATGATGGTGCACTAGCTCTTAGCAGCGAGGTCTGTAATATTAATGATGTTCGTGGCAATTACAATAACATTACTCCCTGTCTTAATACTGCATGAGACTGCACAAAGCTGACTCAAGAATAACGATACTGGGTAGCGATAGTAGCAATATCAGTACTGGCGGTACTGTCTGTAGCATAATCGGTAGTTGTAAATGTGGTAGCAGCATTGGGAATATGAATAATGATTATCGGAAAAAGACAACTAAAAGCTATACGTGTATGTTGCCCTATGGACATGTTATCCGGTACCCAGGCGGAATAACGTTATTCATTACCGCGCACCCTCAACACAGTTCTGCTTTACAATGAAATCCTATACAAGTACGATACGCTCTCGAAATCTGTAATCTCGCATCACGACACCAATTTCGCCTCTACGGTTGTCTTGGTTATACTGTCCCATTCGAAGCTTGACGCATGAGAAATGAACTATCCGTGGCTTCAGGTCCAGTATCAGTAGCTTGTGCTGGTGCTTGCGAGTGCTACTTGGTGCATGCAGGTGTAGAAATCGTTTCAGCAGAGGGAATTCGTTACGAGGTCAAACCGAATCCGACGATATGACGGGGTGTACAGCCCTAGTCTCCTGCATCGGTTTTCGTATGACATACCCAGTACATTGAACAAGGATTTATGACGGGTGAAAAAGCGATGTCTTGACAAGTACTGTAAGATGATGCGAGTGAGGATTATGAAGTGAAATGTAAAAGTTCACATGAGAAAAAGAAATTCGCATTGCAAGTGACTCATCAAGATATTCCCATGAACACCTCACTGAAATATTACAGAAAAGGATGATGAACACAGTCTGATTGGAGTCATTTCATCCTCTAAGCGAAATGGATGAGCCTAGCGGCCACATGCTGAACATGTCCCGACTTTAACATTTCACTGCTCCTGAGTAGACAAACGGTGCTGTACTCGTGACTTAGTCTACTGAATGAAGAGAAGAGGTAAGTGTTAATCTCTTCAGATCAAGTATGATAGCTTTGATTGAATTGAATTATTTGTGCTGCGACGTAGTATTGAAAACCGAAGTGATTCTGATGGTAATAACTGTAGTGAGCAGCCTCATCTTGTTCCGAACTGGTGTTAAGCAAATGCGTATTAAGAGTACTGTTAGTACGGTAGCAGTACTCATCGAGGTATTAGTATCAATGGAGGTATCACGAACAGTACATTTGGTAATGCAAATATCTGGGACACGTGGTAAACTTATGTGTTATTTCCTGCCGACGAATGCTAATATAACTATTGATCGCTTTGGCACAGCTGATATCCGGACACTGTTACCTACCAGTATGTCGAAACCAGATACGGGAAGATGATCCATCATACTTGGAAATGATACAGCCTGAAAGTCACAGGGAGCGAATATTTCCCCCGCTTGAGTTACAGATCCTAGAAAGAGATTGTGGGAATATTTGGGACGTCAGACCACCAAAGACAGTTAAGTCAACATGAGCAAGTTTCATTGGCAAGCGTTAACGATGTTGTTGAATGTGCAAAGTCATGAATGCAGCGACGATACGAAGGCGAGATTAAGTAGATTGCGCGAGACGGGAAGGGAAAACTGTGAACTAGTAAAGGTAAGTTTGCACATGGTTTAGGCAAAGGAAATAAAACGTAAATTCCTTGTGCCATAGTCCTATAATTCCCATTAAAGAGCACTTAACTTACGAATACGTTTTTAATCGTAATGAAAATTGCTGTCATGGGAAAATGTGTGACCAAAGGCGGAAACGGCACCGCAGAGCGATTCGCTAATCGGCAGTGAGTCAAAGGCGAAATAGTTAACTTTGACGAGTCAAGGATACACCAATGATGTGAAGTAAAAACGTTTTTTCTTTAACAATACAGATGCGTAGAATGCTGTATGGGAATGATGGAAGGGTTTGCGAATAAGGATACCATATCCATCAATCGCCAATCATTTTTTTGACGAAGAAAAGTTCTTCTTGAAGTTCATAAGGAGAACCTCTGTATACATGTTAATGCCATCTTAGTACCCACATATTGCGACCACACCTGCTTCTTCCACCTTTTAGTTGGCCTTCAGAAGTGTCATAGGAGCCAATAACGGGAAAGTATCTTAGTGTGTGTGCTCACATGAAATTCTGTAGTTACCAAGAGACAATGTCAGTTCTAGCGACTTTCTTTGATCGACTATCTCGGTGAGGGTGAGCCGTGACTGTTTTGGGATCAGAGATATTGGACGCCCGTGCAATCGATGCTACTGGCCCTAGCTAATCATGGAGGTTCAATTGATTAATCTATTTCGACTTATCTCTGTGCCAAACTTTTGCGTAAGTGTTGAAATGCACGACGAACGGTACTCTTCGTTTCGCCACAGCGCCACTTATCATAGACGTGAATAAGCTCAGTGACACGAATTACTACTTATCTCCTTGGTTAAAGAAGTAAAAAAGATCCACAGTTCCAAGCTAAGTGCAGTTAACATATTCTGATAGTACGTGAAATTCTTAGATCAGTGCAAACGTTTACTGGAGTCCAAATCCAGCCTCAACGCCCTAAATCACTCGGAGATTATTCGTTGTTTAAGCCATCGGTGTGTACTAAATATTGTTGCGGCTAGTGTTGATTTGACTAGTCGTGCTTGTGGCACGAAGTGAGCATAGGATTAACCAAGTGATAGCGATGTTTCATCCACTGTTTCACAAATCGCTGTGGCTTGCAGTTCACTCTGTTTGAGCTCGTCAACTTGTTACTGTGCTCCAGCAAGTGCGATGACTTACACTAAGACGTTAACATACTCCTCCCCTACCACTGAGTTTGTGACAGCATTTCGAAGCATTATTTGCCTGACACTTCGAGGTAGTCCCTGGTACGATCAGGTGGTTGACAAGCTGGCTCAAAGGAGTTATCGTGTTAAACGCACTGAAGTACATCAGCATCGCGGATGGATTACGGCAGCGTGGTCGTTCATTCTGGAGTAGTCGTCCGCATCTCCATAGTTAATGAAGACCACGTAAGCAATGTGGTAGTTTGCTAATGTTTCACAAGCACAAAACGAAGGTAAAATGGCACGCAAATAAATCTGGTTAGCCATGTTGCGAAAACATATGCCTTGTTGTTCCATCCTAAGCTAGGATAAGTAGCATGAATGACGTTGGATTGCGGTGAAGCCTGCCTGTGGAGATGCAAGAGTATAACGATTTCAGTTTTGAATTTCAGACGTTCTCCCTGCACAGGGAGCATCGTAATTTCCTGCGTTTCGTTCCAATTTCAGCATATGAACCACTGGAACGAGTACAAAGGGCTCTGCACCCTGGCTTCGAACGCCGGGCGCACGACTGAAAGCCTGGCACTCACACTACCAGGCTATATTGGGTCTACCCGTGCTACTTATAAGTCAGCTAAAAAACCGTCCGTTAAAGCAGCGTCAAAGCAACGATTGCAAAAGTCAGAGTTCCTCACACACGTTAATGTCTTTACAGTTTACAGAAGCTGCTTATCACGATTTCAACATTTATTTTCCCTGTTTCTACTTAATCCGGTTGCTACAGACGGTAGAAGAAATGTCCACTACTGGATATGTGTGACCGACTCAATGGTTCGACAGTCAAGTTGTATCAGTGTGAAAGAGAGGAGACACGCCACTGGTCTGGAACGACAATCAGTAGCCCACGTGAGAAAGTGGTTGTTGTAGTAGGGGAAAATTGTAAACGAAAATGATCTTCATGTGGTCCGGCAGAATTGGTAATATGAGCAGCCCTACACCATGTTACAATTTGCCTTCCGACTAATAGGGTACCTTGTCAATTGAACATCTCACAACACACGAATTACAACCTTGAACCACACCTAGATCCGTGGGGCATTTTCAGATGTCATTGCAATGCTCCTCTTTGCCCTCCCAAAGCAAGG